GGCTTCCCTCTCTATATAAGGCAGCGCTTGGATGTCATCCATTCAGAATCTTGAAGCAACTTGGCATAGTAAGATCCTGAGCTAGGTGACACGGCAGTAAGTGCAATTAATCGCACATTTTTTCTGTGATCAATCCCACCAAACATTAAAGTTTTCAAATATACTTTTATATTGCAATAATTTCACATTCAATCTTCAAATTAATGTAGAAAGAACAGCTGTTTAATGGCATATTTTTTTATGACTATCAAACACTAAATTCTAATTTAAAAAAAGATTAATCCTTAAAGCTACAAAAGTTATTGATTTCCTAGTTTTTCTTTTGTACTTTGATTAACAGACATCACAGCAGCTGGGTTATTACACTGCTGAACCTGACGCGGATCTGACACGCATCATATTTTCTCAAAACTCTTTACCTTTTCTGGCCCACTTCAGGTCTTAAAGTCTCTACAGTGCATGCATAATAATTATGCAAGTTGATATTCTGGTCATATTTTTTTTCCCAAGCACATTTGACCAATTTCAGACCACATCAATCTAAATAACTACTATTCATTTAGTCTTTAATCATTTATAAATGATATATAATTGTCTATGAAGGATGGAAGTGAACAACGCCTTACATTCAGGTGTGCATAATTATTAAGCAGGCTTTCTTTTACAGATAAAATGAGCCAAAAAAGATTTAACATAACTGAAAAATCAAAAATTATTAAATGGCCATGAGAAAGATGCAATACTAACGCAATACTAGAAAAGGCATGACCACTGGAGAGCGAAATGCTCACTGGGTCAGCAGGGTCAGAAAAAAACTGGTGGAGAAGAAAAGACACATTAACAGCAAAAGAACATGTATCTCTGAGGGGAACTGACTGTCTTTAGAAAAGTTTAGATGGCATTTTCTTTTTATCTTGGTTCTGTATAATGCATATTAAAGCAGCGTTCATAAACACAACACTGCTGTGTTTGCAGCGGCAACCAAGTAAACGTCTCTGGTTACTCACATAACCTTGGTTCCCTGAGATGAGGGAACGAGATATTGCATTTTGCTAATGCTTATTGGGAAACCCCTTCCTCCGAATAATTTATAGTCTCGGATCATTTATTTTTGTCTCCAGGCCCCAAACATGATGACTTATTTTTCTGACAACAGGCTGATCGTAAATTTAAAGATGTCCTGAGGGAGCAGGTTTCACCAGCGAGTGTTTGTTATGGGTTTTGGTATATCTCGTCCTTTTAAACCCACATATTGCTGTTTCATCTTGTCTGCACATCCCTTCAATTTCCTTTAAAGCATTTTAATGTTTCATAACAATACCTGACGCTTGCGGCGAATCACACATCTGAAATCCCTGTTACTAATGAAAGTGGTTGAATTGTGGTTTGATACCAATCATCCTTGAAGGTTTTTGGGTTAAATCATGCTGCTGGATGAAAGGTTGGCTAGAGGTTTGATGGGAAGAGAACAGACATGTCAATCCTGGTTAGTGGCTGTTAGACTACATACAGCAGAAGTGGAGTGGACTAGTTTACGCTAAATTATTTCATGTGAGAATCTGTTCAAGTTTCAAAACAAAAGAATGCTTAAATGAAGAAATTGATTTTAATTATGGGTTGAACAAACTTTTAAAGTGCATAATTATTATTCCGGTCATATTTTTTCCCAGGCAAATTTACCAATTCCAAACCACATCAATCTAAATAACTACTATTCATTTAGTCTTTAATCATTTATAAATGATATATAATTGTCTATGAAGGATGGAAGTGAACAACGCCTTACATTCAGGTGTGCATAATTATTAAGCAGGCTTTCTTTTACAGATAAAATGAGCCAAAAAAGATTTAACATAACTGAAAAATCAAAAATTATTAAATGGCCATGAGAAAGATGCAATACTAACGCAATACTAGAAAAGGCATGACCACTGGAGAGCGAAATGCTCACTGGGTCAGCAGGGTCAGAAAAAAACTGGTGGAGAAGAAAAGACACATTAACAGCAAAAGAACTAGGAATTAAGGTGAAGAATTAGGTGTGTAACCATCAGGAACCCTTTAGTCTCCAGTTCCACCATTTTTCAGAACTGAAATCTACCTGGAGTCTCCAGAAGTACAAGGTGTCAGATTCTCAGGGACTTAGGTTAGGTAAAGAATCCTAAAAAATGACCCCTGCTTAATAAGAATAACATGCTGAAGTGTTGTGAAATATGAAGACTGATTTTTAAAGGCTTTTATAGACAGGCAGGTTGAGAATGACTCTTGAAGGACCTGAATTTATCTTCAGGAATTTGGCAGTAAATTTTGGAAGGTCATTTTTAGTACATCTCGACAAGACAGACTTTTCAGGATAGGAGATGGACTAAAAATGATCTCCCAAAACGTAAGTTCATCAACTTGGATGATGGCCACACGGAGCCTGAGAGTCCGGAGGCTCATATCTGCACAGTGGGGGCAGACCGACTCCCCAAGCGCCACCTCTGAGTGGGCGTGACCCAGGCAGAAGACACACGACTCATGGTCATCAGAAGTTTCTATTGGCTCTACGCAGGAGAGGCAATCGCGAGAGGTCATCCTTGTCCAAAGCTCACCGGAACACAGCAGGGGAAGAGAAGGCGTTATCCACTGCAGCGTGTAGTGAGTAGTCTTTGAAGATAGGCTTCTTGCTTCTTGCAGAAGGTTGGCTGAAGGAAAAGATTCTGAATGGATGACATCCAAGCACTGCCTTATATAGAGAGGGAAGCCCCTCATATTTTGCGTGCTTGAACGCCACTGGCCAGTGTACTGGTGTAATTCAATAAGGCTTCAGTAGTATTTGGAGGAAGGGGTTTCACCATAAGCATTAGCAAATGCAATGTCAAAGTGACTGAATCGAAAGGAAACGCTGTATTGCTGCTGTTCCATAAGCGCCACCTGCTGGCAGAGAGTGAATTTGCGTCTCATTCAGCCCATCTGCTATTTCTGTTTCATTCAGATGTTCTTTGAAGTATAGTTTCACAAAACTAAAGTCAGACCATTCTGTTTTTGCTTCACATTTCGAAATTATATAATCTAATTTAGATTAAAAACTGCTTTGTGATTGTGATTAAAATACAGTGGTTGCCTCTAAGTTTAAATGGAAAGAGCACAGGCAAAGCCTTATTTTGTTTATATGAAGAGATTTCTTTTATTTGCATTATTCATTTATTTCATTTGGGATTTGTTTTAAAATTTCAATTTAGTTTTGTTATTTTTTAATATCACAAAGAAATGTGCAGCATTTTGTCCAAGCAATAATAAAAGTACATCTTTTTATTTATAATGTCTTAAATCTCATTTTGTAAAGAACATTTTTTTGAGTAAATCGTAACGTGAAATAATCATGAATCGTATCGAGTTGAGTGAATTGTTACATCCCTAGCCATTAGATTTAATATTTAGGCCTGACTTCTGACACTTTTGGATGAGAACAAGAACAAAACAACTGAATTGAGCTGGATGATGACACTACTGCCTTCTGTAGAGCTGCTTTATAGCTGAATCAAATTCAGTTCATAACTGATGGATTTTATAACAGTTATTAACTATTATTTCTGTTATTAAAATTAACTGAATCAAGACGGAACTGACTTGAGTTGAATAATGATGCTATTGTCCTTTTAAAGCTGCTTTACAGCAGAATTTGAATTTTATATAATATTTGGAGAAGTTTGTAGCTTTGATTCTTTTATTGTCTGTTTATTTCTGTCAAGCTGCTTTGAAACAATCTCTATTTTTTTATATTGTGTTATATAAATAAA